GAGCCATTCCGAAATAGTCTCTCGGCCATACGTAATAATTTTTGAATTCTCAGTATTGTGCTGTCCCGGAGCGTCATCAGAACCTAAATGTTATAAAACACAAAGAGGCACCAAAATTTATTCCAAAAGAGTCCCAAAAGTTCACAAATTATTCGAAAAACTTCAAAAAAAAAACTCCAAAAAACACGAAAAGTTTCAAAAGAACTCCTTTGAAATCTTCTGCTATATTTCGGTGTTTAACACCTTCTTCAGGCCTGAAATACATTGATTTAATCACTGGTAAAAACAATATGATTGTTTCCCGAACCCATATATGTACCTACATGTGTATGCCTCAGCCAAGGATTTAGCTGCCCTTACGGGAGCCGCGCCGTTGGAGTGGAATTAAGTGACCTACCGCTCACCCTCTGCTTAAATAGTAGCGGACGGACTGTGACGGTCATTGCATGTGATATTGAAAAACCACATGACATTGGGCACGTAGTTAATTTAATAGTTGTAGAGCGTCACGTAGTTCGTCCTTACTATATTATTAATATAATAATTAATATATAGTTGTAGAGCGTCACGTAGTTCGTCCTTACTATTTATTTCGGGTGATAGTTTTCTTATTTCTAATGCCTCCAATAGCCTCCTTTCCACCGGGTTCCCTATGGAGCGGTGTAATACCTTAATGGTCAACGAAGGCGGTTCCCCATATGTGTGTTTTTTGGTGCGGTGCTTGGAGAAGCTGCTGTTTGGATAGAGGCTGGGTTTTGTAACGCCCTTCGGTGTTCATCCAAACGCTTGTAAAGAGGCCTTTTTGATTCCCCAACATACTTTTGTCCGCATCCTTGACATTCTATTAAATAAACGGTACCCCTCAATTGGCAAATTTTATTGTCGTTGCAGTATGCACAATTCCTTCTGCCACATTTTTCTTCATATGGTCTTGAATAGGTGAGTAGATGTCTGAGATTAGGTGGTGGACGAAATATAAGGCGTATGGGGAGCTTTGACCTTTTGACCACACTGTTAACTTTTTGTGCCGTACTCTCGTTCAGATACGGCATTACCATGGGAACTCCATCCTGGTGTTGTATGTGGTCTCCATGTGGCAACATGTGTATTTTCGTAGCCATTGTCCCTCAGGATTCGGTCCACCGCGACATCTACTTCTTCCCATCTTTGTGTGCATACTTTTTCTTTTGTTTTTAATAAATTGCGAACTACGTTTGACTAACTTTTGTATTGAGGAAGGGGAGAAACCCTCCTCATTTGGTTCCTCAACCGTGAATTTTATATTGGGATCCTGTGAATTTAGGTTGAGGAGTGTCCTTTCTAACTCTGTTGACGAGGAGCCAATAATAAATACGTCATCGATGTACCTTTTGTAGAATAATATTCCAGTTGTTAGCGATCGTCGTTCTAACCGGTCTAGATAGACTATGGCCAACAATGGTGCTATCCGTAGTCCCATGGCCAGTCCACGTTGCTGTGCGTAGAACTTTCCATTGAACTGGAATATGTTACATCCAGAGTTGCTTGTTAGTAGGTCTCGTAGGTCTCCTTCGCCCAGTCCAAAGAAAAAGACATCCCTTTTGTGTTGATTCCATAGGGATAGTAGAGCGTTAATGGCATCCCACGTATTGACATTGGTGTAGAGCGATACTGCATCAAAGCTGGCGTAGCTGGCCCCGACTGGGATTTGGCATTGGTCCATAGAAAACCCGGTGGAAAGGAAACTATTGGAGGCATTAGAAATAAGAAAACTATCACCCGAAATAAATAGTAAGGACGAACTACGTGACGCTCTACAACTATTAAATTAACTACGTGCCCAATGTCACGTAATTTTTCATATCACATGCAATGACCGTCACAGTACGTCCGCTACTATTTAAGCAGAGGGTGAGCGGTAAGTCACTTAATTCCACTCCAACGGCGCGGCTCCCGTAAGGGCAGCTAAATCCTTGGCTGAGGCATACACATGTAGGTACATATATGGGTTCGGGAAACAATCATATTGTTTTTACCAGTGATTAAATCAATGTATTTCAGGCCTGAAGAAGGTGTTAAACACCGAAATATAGATATAGAAGATAGATATAGAGATATAGAAAATATATAAAATATAGATATAGAGATAGAAGATTTCAAAGGAGTTCTTTTGAAACTTTTCGTGTTTTTTGGAATTTTGGAGTTTTTTGAACATTTTGTGAACTTTTGGGACTCTTTTGAAATAAATTTTGGTGCCTCTTTGTGTTTTATAACATTTAGGTCCTGATGAGGCTCCGGGACAGCACAATACTGAGAGAAACGTTACATTGATGACGTTTTTGTTATTGGATCTACAGAAGAAGACCTTGTGGAGACATTAGAGAGACTGAACTCACAGGATGCGAACATATCCTTTACTAGAGAAGACCCAGGAACTGATGGTTTCTTGCCGTTCCTTAACACGAAAGTGAGGATATGTGAAGGTCACAAGGAACACCTATGGTATAAGAAAAGTGCCTCGTCGAACATATTGTTGCATTCGAGAAGTGCTCATCCGATATATATGAAAGCGAACGTCGTGAAAAATCTAGTAAGAACAAAGGAAAAGCTTGGGACGCGAAGGGACCCAGCCGTGAACGCTAAAGTTGAAAGCATTCTTGAAAGTAATGGCTACGTGGAAGGAAATATTGAGACCTGGGTCCCACATAGATCACCGGACGGAATAACTCTTGTAGTACCATTTGTCAGCGACAAACTGGCTCGTGAGGTGAACCGTGCGGTGAAAAATTCTCAGCTTCCAATTCGACTGGTCTTCCGCCCTCCCCCTACACTTAAGGATCTTTTCACTTCATCGCGGATCTACGAAAGTCGGTGTCACGAAGAATCTTGTCGGTATTGTACGTCGGAAAAGATTTGTGAACTCCAAGGCACCGTCTATCTCGTTCAGTGTAGAGGATGTGGAGAGAAATACGTGGGGGAGACGGCAAGACCACTGAAGGTTCGACTAGACGAACATAGAAGAGCCTTGGCCAATCCCGCTGCCTATCCTCGCAGCAGTTTTTCCAGACACCGCACATTGAAGCATGAGAGAGAGGACGCCCCATCCTTTGACGTGAGCGTTCTTCACAGACATTTGGTGCGGCCGCTGGAAAGGAAAATCATGGAGGCGCGGGAAATACATCGTATAAAGCCAGAAATCAACGCGAAAGAGGAGCTACGTGACCTTCTGAGGCTTCTTTCGTAATCACCTAAGTCCTTTGCCTCGGGGTTGGTGCTTCATTTCCCATTCCCGCCAGACCCCGAAAGGTCCCACTACTCTCCTTCTCTCGCTGGTATGTATTGATGTATAGTGTTTTTGTAATGTAACTAGTTGATCATGTGCAATTGTTGTAATTTTTAAGGTCTGATGATGGCATTATTGCCGAAAGCTAACCAATAAATAGTAAATTACAAGAGCTTCAAGATCACTCATCAATACAATATCGAAGCTCAGAGATAGCAGTATTTTATCATAACGTTTTCGTAATTCGACTTATGAAGAGGGTCTTTTCTTGGACTTCGGCCTCTGGGGGAGGGATGGGGTCGTGTTTCCAAATTTTCCTCCACGGTTCGCTTGACCCCGGTCACAACCCAACCATTTGGGTCCATACCCCAATCGTTCTCTTGGTCTACGCAGCCAGCGAGCTTTCGGCTACAAAAAAGCAGACGGAAAAAACCCAGAACTCTATGTACAGATGGATTACTATTAATTGAAGGTGATTTCTGCTGTACATAGCACATGCGCGAGTTTTGCGTAGCGGTCATCGAAAAGCTGAAGAGACGGCACAGCACCGAAGCGGATTTTGAAAAGGTGAGAAAGCGCAATTCACCGCACTACAAGGTTGCAGTTTCAGCAAGGATATTTGTATTGAGCTAAAAATAGTTGCTTGCCCAAGCTATGGATGTAAATGGATGCAAGCTAGTGAGCGTGTAACTTCATAATATGCTGGAAACGCAACGGGACGGACTGCGATTATGGTAAAGTATGAAGTTGATCAGTAAGTGAGCGATGGGTTGAATTTAAAGGCACATACTGCGATTAAGGAGATCGGGTTTCTGTGCTGTAAAACAAGTAGAAAATAGTTGTGATTAGTCTACCAGGATGAAAAAAGCAAAAAGTACTAGAAACTCCTGAAACCAAATGGCGTACCGATCGTATGGGTAGAGTCGAGCAAGGCTTTTTACCTTCGACACTAATGGTGTGAAACCATGCGTTAGCTCCAGTTATGAACATAAGGAGTGTGACTGGAGAGAAAACTCACCGCAGCTAGAAATGGTGCTGAGCCGCTTCGAAGAGGGGATCGGCCGAGGGGACTACACAACCACGTCCACTTCAAAGCTGTTCAGCTCCTTTTCTTGATGAATTTTTGGTTCAGTCACACTTCTGGCTAGCGCACCATTTCCCACCATTCGTGTCGAACGTAAAAACCCTGCTGAGACTGTTGCTTTAATGCCCGTGAATTTAAAGAACGGGAGCCTCATTGGTTAACTTCACTCGGATGTCGCAAAAATCGCGAAGTAATGTAGTGCAAAAAATCAATTAAGGGAACTCTTTTCATGGCAAGCCGCAAACAGTACTACTGCGATCGGCTCGTAGCTGAATTTGAGGAGCCTTGCCTTTCCATTTATAATACACTTTGTGAACACTTTATACGATTTGTGGAGGAATCGAGTTCACGGCACTCCAAAAGAGATTGCTCTGCACCTTTAACATTCTATAACGTTATAATATGACAGTGTCCGATGAAAATACATCATCCTCTCTCTGTGGTCTTCGAAGGAGCCTTAATCGACTGATAGGCCGGCTATGCTTTTAGCCCATGAATTCTTCATCTACTTGAGTTCAAAGAAGTTCATAAATTAAACATAACACATAACATAAAAGTTCATAAATTAAACATAACATAAAACAGGGAATTTGGATGTGAAGTAAGCAGCTCACTTCCACAGTTCAGAATAGAATACTATAATGAAAAGCCAACAACGGTCATGGCTTGGCTGGACCTTGATTTTTAAACAATACTGGCGCATCCATGTGGTACGACCCGTATGCTTGCCAACAACTTTTCTGGCACTAGAGCTTTACTCCACCGACCTAATCTTAGGTTTTACCTTTACCTTTAGGTGCCCCTTCTCTCTGAGAATAATGACATTGTGAGCGATGCTCGAGCAACTTCTTTTCAGAGTTGCCCTCAACGACTTCGCGACGATGAACCACAAAAAAATTTGCGTTGATGAGAAAATTTGTCATGATAAAGGGAAAGAGATCTCTGCGAAAGTTCGTTTCCTGCAGATCCGTGCTCCACTGAATTTATGTCCAACACACACGTATGCATATCCAAATACTTACTTTTGCTTAAGGGCAGCGATTACGATACATTCAAGAAGGTTTACAGGAGATGTGTGGTGCTCAATGGTACGCCAGTGGCGAAAAAAGCAGAGAAATCCGTCAAGAAAACGCAAAACGGGACCCCTTTTTGGCCGTTGGTTTTCACTCATGAACAGGTAACAGCTCAGAAGCGGACGTATGAACGAGTTCACCGCAACGCGTTTGGTGGCACCATGCCAAACCACGCTCCAATCGAGTTGCTCCAGTTGTGCCGCTGCTGGCAACGCAGCTCGTCCAAATCACCAAGTAAACTAGTGGGCGGATCGCTTTTGGGGCGGAGTGCTTTCGAAGTCCTGCTCAGCAACCAGCGCACCTTTCGTCGTGAAAGCGCTACACCTCGCTTCCCTGGCAGCCAAGTAACTGATTCGTGTGGTGCTTCCCCAATGCGCTTTCTCTTTATCGTGATCGCTGTCTTTAAGATTCGAAATTTGAAACAAACTTTTGTATAGCCAAATCTGCAGAAAGACTCCACTGTTTCAAACACTTGCCTAACTACGTGAACAAATGCTGTTCAACACGTTGACGACCGCGCCATTTTTCGCTGTCTGGCGTGTGGGACCGCGCGCATTATTTTGACCGCGCGAGTGTGACATGGCATCATGTCAAACGGTCCCACGAGAACTCCTTTTTCTCAGGAAGTGTGTATTTGTTATCTTTCTTGTGTGGTAGGTCTCCGATTATGCGATTTTGGCCATTTTAGCGATTCCTGTGATTTGATCATTATTCAAACATTTTTAGAAAAACTCGATAGCCCATCAACCGAAGCTTCTTTCCAGGGACCACGCCTTTTGTAACAATGCCTAAGTATGGCGCATACATCACGTAAATAAGTTACCTGAAATGTTTAAATACCAGCTTAAAAAAGACTGTGAAGATTAATTAAAGATTATGAAAGTTTATTAGATCGTTGATTTCACACTAAAGCTGAAACCTCGGCAGCGTCCGAGAATGGAGCCGATACATGAATTTTCTGCCTATTCAGGCATCTCCTTCACCTTTCATGAAACCAGACGTGTTTCTCTCTGAAACTCCCAGCTCTTTTTTTCCTCAGAACTTTCGCAGCTCCTATTGTTGTAAACCGACAATGTCTGAACCGAGCAAGACCTGGCCGTTCTATAAAGCACCAGAATCAACCTCGTGATGGGAGTACCATCAGATGTCGAAAATGCTCATTACGAACGAACCCAAAACTGAAAAAAGTCAAAGCTTGTATGCAAAGGAGACTTACCTTTTCTATAGTTTTCCCGTATTTGTCTTTCAGGTCAAAAACGAACTGGTTTCTCCGATCCATGTAATTTGGGTCTCTAGAGCAATCTTGGAGATTGGGAAGCTTGGAACTTGAGCTCCTCCTTCCTGGCACAGCTACAATATTCACTCCACCCTTGAAAGCAAGAATTCAGGAAAGCATTTTGCGTTTATTAACGATGATATAGGTTTGAGAAGAATGACTACATACCTCTTTGAGAACATTTTTGAAATTTTCGGGATCTGCAAAGTCATATGGAGTGGCTGCGTATCCGTGCTCGAATGCCTGAATCACTTGTTTCAGCTAGTTGAACACGTTGACGACGAAACGTTTTGGATTTTTTGACCCGTGGGACCGGCGCCATTTTGCGACAAACACCCTCAAAATCGCGAACTGTATGCAAATTCGAATGCGACAACGTAAATATTTCCGGTGGTACTCAATGTATCTGACCTATCAGGAATTAATACAATTGTTGATCCCTGATAGGTCTGAGCAGATTGACGTGTTATGGTGATTGGGAGGCAAACATTAGTTGCCTTTGCTGAAGTAGACCTTAAATGATTCAGACGTCGCGTGTCACCAAAAATATATATGTTGCCATACGAGTAGGTTTGCATTTACTTCTGCTACTTCTTTTCTCTTTTTTCTTAAGATGCGTTTTTCTCTTTCAGCCAAAATTCCGATTCCCGAAAAAGCGTCCAGTCCACGATACAACAGCCTTTCCCAGTGCTCTTTCATTCTTACGCTTGGTGCCTTTTGTTCCTTAGGTGTTTCAGGGCATCCCTCCTTTTCAGGTGAATCTCCCCTCCTTTGCTGAACTCGGCTTGTGTTTAGAATTAAATTCACTTCTGCGCTTTGAAACATTTGCTACTGGAATCTTCCAGTTTGAGTCACTTTTCAAACATTACAAGTTCGAGGCGTTTTGACCGTAGAAGCAGTGGTATGAAAAGGCCTGTGTGAGTGGACAAGCGGTGCCGAAGTAACAAAAATCGCACTCTCAGGTGCACATCACACAAGCTTGTCATCCATTTGCACTGTGGATTACATTTTTTCACAACATGGAACCACGCTTATTTTGGAAGAAACCCGCGCAACTAGCTGCCCGGGAGATGTACAAAATTCCGCAGATGACCTTGCTGAGCTCGTACCGTGCACCGTACTCCCGAAACAAAATCTTGCGATGTCGTCGGAGTATTATGGAATTATTGATAGATTGAAATTTGAAATTTGAAAGTTTTTGCTCCTCAACTTCCACTTAGTGTCATCCAATTTGAATTTAGAGAAGTGTAATTGATTCCGTTGTTAATGTGGAGGGAAACAACTTTTTTTGGCCCTTACCCCTGGTATGGGTATATATGGGTACTATTTTGTCGCAAATGTTGTCGCCATTTACGGAAAGTCTTCAACAAAATTTTCCTCAAAAAACCCTTCCATTTAGACGCGAGCCTTCCTTCTCTGCTGCCTCACTGTCTTAAAATTCATCGTTAAAGCAACAATCCAGGAACGAATTCGCGGGTAAGGACCACCTATAATGACGTTGCAGGTGAGAAGTTGGTCAATGGAGAAAGAAAAAGTAGAAAAAAACGTCGGGCAGGGGCTTAGACAGGGACTCCCCCTGCCGTTTAGGGAGACGTGTGTTGGACGAGTTGTCCGAACCTGCCCGTAGTACATGCGCTCCAATTGCAACTGCTGGCAAATAGCATGCTTGCAAATACATAACTATTTGCCAGCAATCGAAATTGAAGCGCTTCAATTGCGTTCTTATGGAATCGACCTCATACAGCGCGGCGGTCCCGCAACGACCGCTAGTCGAGCACGGCGCTCTGCACAGCGTATGTTGAGCGATCCGCCTCGGTATGGGTGATCCGCCCCCTCCAAGAGGACTTCGACCCCTTCCAGCGCATTTTAGAGGTAGGTTTTGAACTTAAAGACATTTCCTATAAACTTTAGTTGGGCTGGGGCATGTTTTGACCGCCTAATGACCAAGTAGTTGAAACCCTGCCTGGACTGTTGCTTTAAGAATTAAGAATGTCTAGCTCAAGGAGACCTACAGCAACTGCTGCAGCCTGAAATATTAGTAGTAAATATGTAAACCCCCTCAGAATCTGCTTCTAGAAATTGTCGCAATGGTGCACGGGCCGTCAAGGATCC